GTGTATAGAGTACCGAACAATCTCCCTAAAGACGCACGATTACGCCTCCTAACCATAGCTGAGGCTTGAGAGATTTATAGAGAAAGACCGGGTAAAACGTATTCACTCTCTCTGTCTACCCTGGCCCACTATAAGGTCACCAGTATCATAATTTTTCGTATTTTTATTACCATTATTATCATTTTGTGATATCATGTCTTTATTATCCATTTCTCCACCCAGTTTACTCCACCTCATTGTTACCCTTAATTTTGTCAACCTTTGTGATTTTAAACTAAGCCTACCAATTCTGTAACATCTTATTACAATTTACAACTTAGCGTCTTCATTTTATCATTAGACATTATTGGTCAGCCCTCACATTCAGTGACCCCTCTGTTAATGTGTTTGTATGTATTTTGTAGTTATGGAATTCCTCTCATACCAATGACACTTGTATTCTGTTGACTATAAAACAACACGATATCACCCAAGTGTTCATTCACACTTCATCACATTTTTTCTGACTATACACCCTATACACATTTGATTGACTATGTTAACTAATGGCCTATCGTCTCAATTTACACATGCACCCCAATACAGTTTCTGATATTATTTTCATTTGCCTTTATTGGCTATATGTACTTTATTATTCATGGATTTATAACTGTAAAGCTTGAAGAAGAAGAAGTTATCGAAAACAATTGATTGCTCAAAATCTTGTTTTGATTTCAATACGGACACATTTCATTCACAGCTTTTGTTCAAATTTCTTCAAAGCATATGGTTTCTTAAGTATCGTATACATAGATATACAATAATTGTACAGCTTGCTAATAAGTTCGTTGACGAGAGTATCTTCGCTATGGCGCTGTTGTCTTTCCTAATGTCTTACAAGAGGAATTATTAAATTATCATTGAAAAACTTACATTCCAGCCAATCACGTGACAAGCAGAAATTACCTATATATATATATATATATATAATGGTACATAGCAGATTGTGCAAGTGATTCCACTTTGTAAGTGTCGAACGTACATGATGATGATGATGATGATGATGCACTGAAAAGTGCGCAAGCAGACACAGGCGGATAAATAGGCAGATAGATAGACGGAAACACGAATAGGAGGTATACAGTGAGTCATGATAAAAAATGGAAATTCCTGTCGATATGGTGAACTTACATAAACAACTCTTACTGGCTGCTCATTTAAGAGGAAGGGAAAATTCTAAGAATGAAAATGGAACAGGAAAACAAAATCGAAAAAGACACATGTTTTGCTTTCATATATTATGAATTAAGCAATAAATTCCGATGTACACAGTGCACATGTTATTCCCCTTTCACGTGCACTTGACATTAGCGGGCGCCTTTCATTATTACTCAAAGGACAATTGAGTATTTTCAAAGAGCTTTAAATTATGATGCATAAAAATATTGTAAGAAGTCTTCCATATTATAAAAAGTGAATTGGACAATGACGAAGACGACACAATAGTTAAACATATATAATAACAAGGAAGGAGACTGATGTAAGTGTGTATTCACCGACGCATATTATTTCAAACTGTCGTATTTCACAAGGGAAGGAGCAATGAAAGCGATAATTGCACACTGATAAACACACACACACAGCAATTTAGTGGAGCTGACACAAAAAAGAGGACGATTTTGTCAGCCGTCATACCAAAAGACACAGATATCCTTCCCTCTTTACACGTTAAATTATGCAAAATAAACAGACGGCATGCACAAACTTGAACAATGCAAGAAGACCATTAAGTAAAAATGCTCAATAACTAATCATTCAGTCGGTATAGGCGACATATTAGAATTAGCCATAAATTGCTGAGATTATTACCTTCTAATTACTTTCAAAGTGTTCCCTCTGTCGAAACAGTATTAGATATTGAGTTATCCATAGAATAGGACCTCAGTTCTATCCTCATTCATAGAGGACTAATTCACAGACCTGAAATGAACAATCAATTGACATTTCTTCTACTATCTACGTATTCACTGATTTTACAGAGACTAATCAACTTTGGAGATTAGATGGGATATTTAAGACACTGCTTTAAATGTTCACCTCTACGTCTAGAACACTTTCTTTATGCTGTTAGTGTCTCAGTGGAATACTGATAAGATATGTCAGTTAGAACTACGAAAACATTGAGTAAAAGCAGTAAGCTGATTGATGAATGCGATGAGCAGGTTATATTTCTCCACTGGTTTAGAATTCGATACCGCGAGAATTCGCACAACTGTCTACTCGTAGTATGAATTTACAGTTTTCTAATATCTCTGACCAATTACCACTTTTCACACACTCCACTAGCAGATTCTGATAAGAACTTCAGTAATCTAACTTCATAAACTCTTGATATCTAATGGGTGTTAGGTGTACGTACTGTCGAAAATTCTCAGAAGAGAAGGGAACAGTCACCCATTGCCTCCTGAATTTTAAGTGTCAATGATGAAACGTATACTGAAACGACAAATCGTAATTCTTCATTTTGAATCCACTATTTCTCAAATATTTTGACTAATTTTCACATTTCTAGAATCTGGTCTACTAGTCGATTTGTCTTCTCATCAAACAAGTGAACTACTAATGTAACTTCCAAACGAATAATTCAGTGTAAGTGACAAATTATCTAACTACAGCGACTGGTAAATTCTCTCATGCACTTATTCCTATTTATGATGAATTTGAATAAAGCGGAAACAATGGTTTGTGTGTAGAATAAAGTGATACTATTTTATATCGTCAGTCTCTCTTCAGCTGCATGTAGCCTAAGTGCCTTTCAATGAATTGTAAGTACGCCAAAGCATTTTGACATTCTTGCAGCGGTGAAATGAAGTCACTTCAATAGACAGTCTAAAATTTATGAACAACACTTAGAAATTACAATTGTATGCTTTGATACTGGTCATAAGGTCACAACTTTGAAACCACTAGAATTATCAATAGAAAAATACCGCAGTTCTCCTCAAGTTCGCCGAATCCGGTGCTACCTGATACTTAAAACTCACTTCATACGTTCAGAAAGAAGCGGTAGTATGTCTGTCGTCGCTCTTGAAACTCGATGTATTTAGTCTCCTTTTTATTTTGTTACATAATAAACAATTAGCTTTATTATTCTCTCTGTTCAGTATAGTGTATTCATATTTGTCTTTTATTTCTGTAAGTTAACTCACCTCATTGTCACACCGCTTATCAGTCACTCATTATCTACTTGTCCTCGATCCCTTGATATTTATTACACAACTCATTTTCCATTACAATCTTGGCTTTATCCATGAGCGTGCGTGAACATGTACGTGTATGGTTGAGTAAAGGAGTAGCCAAATGTGTAAACAGTGCAGTCTTAGCCCATTTGATAGATACGGGACACGCGATAAAACTTGATCCAGCGTTCTCAGTTATTTACCACTTTCCTAGTAATTTATCTAGAGGAGCTCGACTGCGTCTTCTATCAGTATCTGAAGCGGTGGCAATTAATTTCAAAAGACCATCTCTTTGCATACAGAAGAAGTACGTTCAACCACTGTGTTTACCTCGGCCTACAATAAAGCCAACAAATCCTCCATTAACAGTTTAAACTCCTTTCACAATTTTCTTTTCTTTTCTTCTTCTTCTTTTTCTATACCTCTGTTTCATTGACAAACGTTCATTTTCAACTTTTATGATTTCATGACCTTTCTTATGATTTTATTACCTTAGGTTGAAGTAGTGCTTTTGTAACTTGCTATGGTATTTACAAAATCCTGTTCATTCCACTTCATGATATTCATTATTATTATCTGACAATCATTCACCTTTAGTACTTGTAATTTTACACCATATCATATTTATTATTTTACAATCATCATTGTTGTCACTATTTTCAACCTTGAACTTATGTCTAGACCGCCCCATTAGTTGGTTTACTTTCATGTTGCCTCACACACCCTGATTACACTCACTCTCGAAACCTGTATTTTCTGTTGACTATATTTGTATATATCACACATCATTAAATTAAATTACTTCATCTCATCTTGTCCCATGTTCTCATTGACTATGCATATTATAAAACTATATGAGTATTGTTCCATTCCATCTTATACTTGTTCCACAATACACTTTCTGATATGATTCTAATTTGCCTTTACTGGCTGGCTATTGTATGCTTAAATTAATGGATTTATAATTGTAGAGCCTGAAGAAGAATTTATTGAAGGCAACAATTGTTCGCTCTAAATATTTTGTTCTGAATCTTGGTTCTGTTTTGTTTAAACATCAACCTTCTGTGTATGAGTACATATTGAGTGGGATTCCTTGATACCCTTAATTTTGGAGTTTTGTGTTAACTGATATATTCAGTCACCGTTCCAAGTAAATTACAATCGCTTTTTAAATAAGCTTAATCGTTTATTTTTTAGATGTAACACAGGTGATGGAGAGTTGATGGAAAACCAATGAAATAATGGATGCAATCATCACAGTTCACGTACACCGTCGATTTTGCTTTATTCAAGCATATATATATATATATATATATGCACATATATATATATATACTCATATACCCATTTACATGTGTATACGCCATCACATTCCACTGGGATTTATTTGAATTTTTCAACTCTTTTCTGATAGTCTCATTCTCCTTGTTCATAAATTATCCAGTCATATTATAAGTAAATAGTAGCGATTATCCAAAAAGGCAGTGATCCGTCGAGTTTGTCTACAATGGACCAATAATTGGTTGTTGTCTTCTTTCCTCCTACGTAACCATGCAACCCTCCACACCCCTACTCAGAATATAACATATAGATATGCATATATGTAAAACAACTTCATTCCACATAACATATCCTCACACATACACACCATCATACTGAGATAAATCACCATTACAAAACTCAGCGAGGACAACTTTTATGCTGTTTCCTTCAATTTCAGATTGTCAGTCTAAGTACTAAGAAGTAGACAGGCAAACGTTCTCACCAGAAAAGCACTCAACGATGCCATCAAGTTACCATGAAGAGAGATCAGAAACAGTGCAGGGGAATGAAATAAACATTTGCAATGATCCCTCCCAGACTCATAGTAGCAGCACTAATGATACTACAAATGATAAATTTACTAATCCCCATCACTTTCGAAAGGGCATTTCCCGTCTACTTGAACAGAGTACAATACAAGGATTGACACATATCTCAACATCATCAAACAATCGTGCACGATTAATATGGTTCACTTTGTGGTTAGCTGGTGTAGCCGGTTTCCTGACTAACCTTTCGCATGTTGTAGCACATTATTTATCACGACCAGTTTTGACCAGTTACCATGATGATTATGAAGAATTTGTGTGGTCAGATATCACTTTCTGTAATGCTATGGCACCGTATAATTTAAATACACAGGAAAGACGAGCACTGTGGAACCGCTATGTCAATCAGGCAAGAAATCTTTCAACAATGCATCATATACCAAAAGAGTTATTTCTTAGTGTTGCTGGAATTACTACTAATGAAGTTATCATGCAGTCACTGGTGAGTTCAAGTATACCTCATTGGAGATTCAATGTTGGCAATGTGAACGATATGTTTCTTTTTATCGCTCGACAAGATAGACATCAGGGGATACGACTGACAGTAGACATGGATGTGAAATTAACTAGTATGTCAAAACCATGGGGAAATTATTTCTATACACAAATATTACAAAAATATTATAATATACCATGTCACAATTTTCAGGTAAGTTGACAGCAACAATAATACCAACAACAAAATTGTGATTATTTTTTTTGTGCTATAGAAAATCTGATGAATATTTTCAGTAATATATGTAATATATATTCCTCGAGTTACAAGTTGAACATTAGGTCAAGGGTAGAAGTATCGATATGGTGAATTAATTTTCTCCACAAGCAAGATATTCTTTTTTTCACTTCCCTTTGCATGACTCGTCGATTTCACTAGAGATGCTGGGAGGAATTGCCATTTGTATGTCCCGTCAGAGTATTTTCACCTCATCCACGCTCACTTTATTCTGGATGTTTGTTGGTTCACTGCCTACCAGAGTTTTCTTTTCTGTATCCTTGTCTTTCCTGACCGATCTCGTGACGTCCATTATTGGAGACAGATTTTGATGAAACTCTACAATAGCCCCTAGGGGATAGTTTTCCTGACACTTGGGTCAACACTCTGAACCACATGGAAGCACAGACTCACACAATATTAATACCAGGCCTTCTCTCGCGCTAATCCTTTTTGACCTCTACATTAATTTCAGAGTAATAAACGCCTGTCTTCCTTTCCTGATCCCATCCTTCCTGGATTTGACACGGTCATCCATGACACACACCTGTAATTAATACGATGCTATCCAACGGCACAAATGAAAAAGACGATGCAATCTCGATTTCGACCATTGGTAGTGACTGGTGCTTGTCGTAATATCAACAATTCACAGCAAATTGTCTGGATTCCAAGCAGATGCACTCCAAAATGTTGCCTAATCTAAGAACCAGTCAGAAGCCTGGATAAGAGGAGTATTGAGCATTAGTTTGTCAGTCTCACAGAATAAAAGAGAAACCATTTCCACTGAGATTTCAAATAAATGGAGGAAAATTCATTAAACCATTGAATTTCCAACATTTGATGATTTAAAAAAAATATCATGTCGTCTCTTTCTGATATAATCTTGAGCTTCTAAAAATTCTCTAGCATTTTTGCCGTTTCCGCTGTCTAATATTTGAACATTGTCCCAATCGAAATGATGCCTGTGGTTGTCTGTATGTAATGATATCAGGGAGTGGATATCATGTCTTTTGACGGCTAGCTTATGTTCGTGGATACGAAAACGAAGGGGACGTCTACTTTGGCCAATGTAGCGTTTTTCGCAGTTGTTACAATTTATCTTGTAGATAATGTTGGTTTTATCTTCTTTCACTGTTGAGTCTTTTGGTTGACATAGAATTGAGTGAAGTGATTTTGCTGGTTTGTGTACGACGTCAATTCCTAAAGGTATGAAGAGTCTTTTAGTGATTTCTGAGTTGTCCTTTATATATGGCAGGGCGACTTTCTTTGTGCTTTCCTTGGGGACTTTTGGTTTGATAGGTTGGCTTGGGGATATATGTCCTTTGATGAAAAATTACAAAAAAATGGATGTACACGAAATTTCCTTGTCCATATCTACCTGAAAAGCATTCACCAAGTACAACTTAAAACGTTTGGATATTTTCACTCCTGCTGGCTGCAGGCATAGGCAGATGATGAGTTCTAAAATAGGACGATACACTTGGTCTGAACTTTAATTCTGATCACGAATTATCAAGTAAACAACCAACTTGTATCCAGAGGGATCATCATACTAGGAGGAACTTATGAAATGCTGAAAGCGACAGGTCATGGTCAGCGGGTTTCACGTTATCGCAGGAAGTGGTCGCTGATCGAAGTCATTCGTTGATGGTAGAGTTACATCATGGGTTCGACAAAAGTTAGAATCCCCAGGTGAATGAATCTCCAGACAACTTGCTGGCTGATCAACGTTCTCGAACTTGTCACCTGGAGATCCTGAGTCTGATACCTGGGGATATTATGAGTGCACTGTACTGAAGTGTCACCGTGTTGCCTAGTTCTTCACTGATTAGTTAAGTGACGGTTGAATCTATGCTCAAATTCACACTCGTGCTTCTGCGATGCTGCTTATCACTATTATTATTATATTTTCACCTAGATTGCGCGTTATTTAAACAAATCAATAATGAAGAGAATAGAAAAATTTGGATTTTATTTAAAATCTAACCTCCATAGTTATTTGATTATTAATTCTTCGTACTATCCACACATAATTGATGTCTACATTACATCACCAAATCATTTTCCTGTAAGAGGAGTTATTGAATTAACCCCTGGATATATTCATCATGTACAAATAGAAATGGTGCGTCATCAACGTAACCAAGAAAAGCGACGGTGTCATAAAGAAAAGTATTCAGCAATGATATACGACGATGATCTAGTGACAAAACGCCGAATTTATGATACTGGTGGAGATTTATGCCATCGATTATTATCACAATATTTATATCTACAAGAATGTCATTGTTATAGTCCATTTCTCCCTTATGGTTATTTCCCTGAATTACTTAATATAACTGATAGTAATGATCATCATCATAATAACAATAATACGAACACCAATGGACCAATATCACAGCCAGTCTTGTGTTTGAACATGTCAGTTTTCAGTGACTATCAGTTGGTGGAAAATTTGAAATGTATGCACCGTGTACTCAAAAAGTATAGTAATGCCAGTTTATATTTGAGCTTAGCGAAAGCTCAACATTGTGAATTCTATGCACAATCAGCAAATTGTGATGAAGTGAAGTATAATCATTTCGGTATGGTCAATAACCCAATGGCAGATTTATGGGGTAGTGCGCAGCGTAATGAAGCCAGAACTGACTTTCTGATCAACATTTTCCATCTCTTGGCAAATCAAATTATGAGTGACGACAAAAATATTCACGGTGTTGGTCATATTTCAAGTGATGAATTCATGAAAGAGGTATTACGAAATGAATCAGCACAACAAGAAATACTCCGTCAATTACGTAATAATTTTGCATTATTAACGGTAGAGCGTGTTAGCCCTCGTGGCAGACTAGTTCTCGAAGAAAATGAATACCCACTGTCTCGACTAATATCTGATATTGGCGGTAATATGGGATTGTGGATTGGTATATCTGTGATTGGTTTATTTGAATCTTTCGAACTCATCGGTTTTATCATATACGCATCAATTAATTATTTTAAAAGCTTGACAATGCGTTTATTCAAATCATGATGTTTTCAAGGTTCTTTCGAATTCTTTCTTCGTTTCTTTTCAAGACAGTGTGAGACGCCAGTCATATTAGATTTGTTCCACATTTTCATCGCAGTCATTTCTTGTTTTTTGAAATTGACCAGTGAACACTGAACAGTTTCGTTCAACCGTGATGTTTTTAGTGCTTGGTATGAAAACATTGACATTCAAACTGTCACACTTAATTGATAGTGGTCATGTAATCGAGAAAACGAGAGCCTTCAAAGTACTTCATCGTATCCCACCGAATCTTTCCAATAGACTTCGTATTCGTTTACTGCACACAGCTGAGGCGACAGGCATTCGAACTATTAAACCTAAACTATGTATTAAAAAGAAGTTCGTACACAGCCACTATCCCTCCCTTGGCCTATTAAGACATAACCAACTAATGACTTCTACACAACCCCTTTCTTATCATCTCTTAATCTTATCTTCATTATAAACATGTTTCATTTCCTTCCCTTACAACCTAACATTACTTTATCGGTTCATTGGTTTTCACTAGCCTTTATCGACTACTTCCACCTGAACAGTTGTTTGTTTAATAATGCTGTTTTTCATTATTCGTGTTATCACAGATTGCCTCACTTTTCCATCCTTATTATTGAAAAGACCATTATTATTGTAATAATTATAATTATCACTACTACTGTAATGACTAACTGCAAAATTTATATTCACCATCGTATTATCCTATAGACAAAACACCATGATTGGTTTATATTTGGATTTTTATTTGTAAACTTATATATATTAGAGTTCAACCTGATGAGATCTAATTGAAAGCACAATATTGTTCGCTTAAATGTGTTATTCTAAATTCAATGGTGTAATTTATGTTTATTTAAGGTGACAAAGCAATCGATTACACGTATATGCATGCATATAGACATTTTTTCCATGTTTACAAATGTATACAAGAAATACAGATAGATCTCATGTATACACTTAGACTTTAATTCAGATTCACGAACTAACAACTGTTCCTATACACTGAAATGCTGCTGTTAAAGGATTGACTTGTGAGTAGTAATCACTTGTTTGATTTATTTGAGTTTTCAGGAGAAAACATTTTTCGCATGAGATATTGTATAGAAATGAAAATTTTCCTGGAAAATATACACTGTGAGAGATAATGTTTGCATACAATTCAATTCTTGAATTTGGCCTAATTGTTTCAATCTCTAATTGTGTTGCTTATCAGTAAATGACATTCCTACTTATATACTTTTCAGATGTATTCATGTGTATGCATTGGTGCACCCACGGAAATTTCTACATATTTTACACTAATGAACTGTTTCAGTGGTCAGTGAGCTGTCCGGATATATTAGGGTTGACGGTGGCCAGTAGTAGAATTGGGGATGTGCACTTCTTCCTATTCAGGAGTCATCCAGTGGATGTGACTGCATTTCAGGTGAATGATGGCGTTTCCACTGAAACCCACTAACTGAATAAGTGGGAGTTTACGTGGTCTGGTGATTAAATGAATAATGCTCAAAATCTTGAAACAACGAGTACTGAGTTCTAACCTCTATGACTGGCCTGGCTAGCATCAAAATATTCATATGAATTGATCAGTCATATATAGCTCAGTAGTAACACCACTGAATGAGATACGTGGTGAATGGAGTTCAAGTCCCATAGGGACTGTGTAGGGTGAGTTTCTTCAAGGTTTGATAATACATCATGACATCTGATGAGTACCGATAAGTAGAAAACCAAGATCCACGACATTCAATGTCGATCATCTTACCTGAATTATGAAGAAAGATTAAAGTAATTAAAGCCATTTTTCACGATGAATAAATTAGAGCTTCTTTAGAAATAAATATGCCAATAAAAAGCTTCAGGGCACAGGAATGTAATGAACGGATTTGAATAAAACGGATTAGGTTATCGATTCCAGTGGTTTATGGGTTGTTGCAGTTGCTTCGGTGCAGTAGTTTTATTAGGTTGTTGAATCCCATCCAACAACAAATCAAGTATCCGAAGTTCGTTGACTCTCAGCACTTCTCTAGCCCCATAGTCACCCAGTCCATTTTCTAGAGAGCTGCTGATTATTCTTAGAAACACAGAACTTCTTTGCCGACTGACACATGACAATACATTGTTTATTACATTTATGAATAGATTCTCGTAAAACTTGTGCTGCGTCTTCTACCTACTGATTAAAGGCCGATGCTGTCCACTTATGATAATAAATGATTTAAGTAAAATTTTCAGATCATTTAGTACTTTTCATTTGCGATCTTCACTGTGTTAATCCAAGGAGACTGTTCATTCCCTCCTGTCTATTTCGTTGTTTCAATGTCACTGTTATATTTACAATTCCCAATCAGTCTAGACAAATACAAAGTCCTCACTAAAACAGAAAGCTAATCAAAACATTAAAAACCTATCGTATACTTGTATCACCGCCATCGGGAGGATATGGCATATGTGGTCATTTCGCACTATCCTCGTATACTACAACAGTGAAAACAAATGCCAAATTGAAAAATGTTTATCCATGCCATTTATATTACTATAAACAGCAATCAGTAGACAAACGTTTGCAACAAATAAGGTAGTTCCGAGAAGAAGTAACTGCAACGGAATACTAAAAAGCCAGTTGATACATTGTAAATAAAGATAAAAAGATTGCTAATCTGCCAAACGTGAAGAACTAGAATGAGGAATAGTGGAAATAACCCAATCATTCGTGATGGTTCTTAACCAAAAGCTGACTGTGAATGGTTAGTGGAAAATGAACAATTAATCAAGTTAACTTCATCTCGTTATTTTTTATTTCAAAAAGAAAATCAGAGAGATCCCATTTGGAGGAATATCGTGCAACAAGACGACTTATGTATAAATTAAATTTTCAACAGGCACAAGATTCAGGACAATTACAATAAAAGCGTACGGTCGTTTCCATATTGTATCTGTTCTTCAATGGTTAAATGCATGCCATCCACGCTACACGTGGTCTGAGTTCGATGTCTAGACGATGCATTGCGCCTAACCTTGAATAGTTTTCTATTTGATAGTTAATCCAGAAAAGACGAACATTTGAGGAGTGAGTGTACAGAGTAGCGCTACTCTGTAAGAGAACAAAAACCAGCACCTTGATTATCATATATTCTACACGGAAATCAAGGAATGGGAGAAAATCTAGTCTTCGAAAGAATATTTCTAAAGCATTATGGAAGTAAAAGAAGATATGTTCATTCGAGAACTGATGATTCAATCTTATATTGGGACTGCTGAGCTCATGAATGGACTTGTTCTATCTTCCGACCTTACTTGGACATCTCATATCCTAACAATTTCTAAAAAAGTGTTCTGTCTAACACACTACATTAAGAAACTTAGACAATCTGCAATCACCCAACTTCTACTTTCATAATTTGTCAACTCTTGTATCTTACCTATTCTACTTTACTGCTCCCCGTTAGTCTTTCCTGGTCTACTGAGAAAGGACTATACAATCCTGAGAAGGATGTTGAAGGTAGTCAGTAGGACTAGTGGTGTAAAACTCAGTCAGCTCGTCACTACTTTAGTTGATAGATAATGTTAAGCGTGAAACCTATGACTTGCTTTGTTGTTAACAACATAATTTAAGGCTCTTTTATTTCTCTCTTATTTTGTATTCTACAGTGAACTCCTTCTCAAACATACTTAGCTACCTAAATTATTAACATTGGCTTCCTTTTTTATACTTTACTGTATTCCTTAGTCTGTGTATCTACCGGTTCCGACTATATTAGCACTATGAATATTACAAAATTATCCTGTCATTAACCATCATGTATTATTAGTTTTTGTGTTTTTTAATGTATTTTGGTAATATTAACTGATAATCATTGTTTGTGAACGCCATTTTCACCATCTAAAAATTTTGTATTATGCAGGATTACTCACACTACCACTACAAACACCGCATTAGACCTGATAAAAATTAAAAAACAACCCTGAAATGTTATTTTATGATTGTTTAGCGATTTACAATCAAATTAACCGATCATCATGGCGATAAACATTCTAAAATAACATTTCAAAAACTTATGGTATGATTATAGCTTCTCTGTAACCACGTATAAACACATTATGACTTCAACCACCCAATACTGAGATATTATTTGTTATGTTGTTTTATTTGCCTTCCTACTTCTTGGTATTTCTTCGCATCATTTTAAAATTATTTTTGTGTTCTTCGTGTTTTTTTCTGTTGCTGTCTTTATATCCATTTTTCTTTTGAAATACTCCTTTTAAGCGTTGGATAAATTTAGATGCAAATATTGTAGATAAATGCTGAAAATTCCACACTGTACCACTAGTACTGTTTCTGCAATAAAGCAAATTATTATTATTTTATTCTACAAATCATTCTGTTTATGACTACTAGGTTATTGTCTTCAGCTACATGTATGCACATAATTTCTATCACACACGGTGTTTTCAACCACAATCAAAGTTTCCCAACAGCTTAGTTAATCTTACAATAGAAAACTCTTTGCAGAATCTCCAAAATGACACAAGTACAGTCACGAAATAAAACATGGATGAATGCCTGTCTGCATCCGATGGTGTTATACGTCTCCTTTCCACCTTTGTGTGCATCTGTGTTTTTGAGTGAATGAAGAAGGCACACTGTTAACAAGTGGCGGCATAAATTAGCCAAAGATTAGGGTATGTGTATGCATGTGAGCCAGTGTGTGTGTGTGTAAGCCAACATGAACAGCTAAATGAGAAAAGAACACAGCCGACAGCATTGGGCGGAAGGATTCAGTGTAGAAATTTTCGAGTACACAGAGGAGGGACATGCACAATTATTATTATTATATTATTGTTTCTTTCAATTCCTAGAGGAACATAGGACTTCAGCCATGCGTCTCCATTGCATTCCGTTCTCTGCTAGAGTCTTCACCTGGCTCCACGTCTGCCCAAACGCTTTCATCTCCTCTTCACATGACCTACTCCAAGCCACCCCACCC